AAAATACGGACCCGAGGTCAATAAATCCAATATCAGTAATTTCTTAAAAATCATTAAGCTTTCAAGCTTTTAATTTTTCTTCAAAATTTCATATCTCGAGCTAGGGATCTCGGAATTCGATTCCGGGCATTCGCCCAAGTCCCAAATTACGATACGGACCTACCGAAATTATCAAAATACTGATCCGGGTCCGTTTACTCAAAATGTTGACTAAAGTCAACTCAGTTGAGTTTTTAAAGCTCTATTTCATATTTTAATCCATTTTTCACATAAAAACTTTCCGAAAAATTTTATGGACTGCGCACGCAAGTCGAGAAATGATAAATGATGCTTTTTGAGGTCTGAAAATACAGAATTGCTTATTAAATTTAAAGATGACATTTTGGGTCATCACAACGATGCAATTGCAAAATTAATTTACAGTATTATGCCAAAAACACAATTGAAAATGTATTGTGGGAGACAAGTTTTTCAAGTAAGCATAGGTTACCTTTTGCTTAGGAGTAAGCAAAATTAAATTACAAATATAACTTCAAGTGGAGTTATCTTTATGTTTTCATTGAATACATGAAAGTACGAGGAAAGATATGTAGTCCGCCTCCCTTTTTTTTTTTTCTTTTTTTTTTCTTATCAATAAATCATAATAAACTACATCTTTGTTTTGTCGTATAATTTATGGAATAATATTTGAACAAATGAATGTCTAGCTAAAAAACTTAAGTTTTTCCCAGTTGATTTCTTGTGTTTTCAGTAACTTGCCGTTAGTTCAAGTTGACGTTAACATAAGGAACATAAATTATTAAGTATTTTATACTATTATTTAAAATTATGTGAAAAATATAAGATAGTTAACTATGGTTATATACTAAAAGATGTGATTAAATAAAATAGTATGTGTCATTTATTTATAGAATGCGCGTAAATCCCCGATGCGAGTAAGTATTTATCGCATAGACAAGGACGAAAGTGCCAATGATCTCAGCACCCAAAGCTATGCCGGTTGAGTAGCCAACTGCAACGGTATTAGCACCGTCGCCATACGTGTTATAGTTATGCGGTTATACTATATACTACTAATCAAAGTTTTGATCCAACTGTACCCTTGAAAATCAGGTATTGGACATATATTTTTAAAGTTTGTAACTTCTTCATTACATTTTTTTTAATTTGTATATTTTCATTCCTAAACATAATTAATACTATTGGTTTTTAGACATCTCCTAACATATTCATCTCTCGTTTTAATATCCAAAATAGTTCAAGGAAAGAAATTGAAGCATAAACTTGCTGGAGTTAAAAATTATTTCCGAGGAGACGCAACCCCGTAATTTTTTTTGCATCGTTTCACATTCTTAGGAAAGAGTCTGCAGTTTCTCTTTTGTGTTTTAGCCACGTGGCAATGGTGAAGGCATTACCGACTGTTAACATAAAGAGATTCAAATTTCTTTAGATCAACAAAGCTGTTCATTTTGAAATTAAAACTCTCAGTAAAAACAGGGAACTCAACCCAAAACAACATTTATATACATCAAAACAGAGTAATAAAAACTGAGTTATACAGTAAACAGGTATAACCATGACTGAGCATAGATTTTCAATCGAAAACAGTGAGAGGATAGTAAAAAAAAAAAAAAGCCCCCAAGAGTCCAAACAGCACTGGCACAAGGCCCAAAACATGGCATTTAGCCCAATTTATAGAAACTCTTTCTAAAACATATAAGTATCATGTAGTTTCAATAAAATATGCAACTTTACAGTTGCCACGGGACGGACCAAGTCACAATCCCCAACAGTGCACGCCTACACGCCCGTCACCTAGCATGTGCGTCACCTCAAAATAGTAGAATGATACGAAATCAGGGGTTTCATACCCTCATGACTAGATTTACAATCGTTACTTACCTCAAACCAATCAAATCTATATTCCGCGATGCTCTTGCCCCTCGATTCGGCCTTCAAATGCTCCGAATCTATTCACAATCAGTACAATATCATCAGTTTATGCTAAAGGAATGAATTCCACAAGAAAACTACCAATTTAGACCAAAAACCCGAAATTGACTCAAACCCGGTCCCCGGGCCCACGTCTCGAAATCTGATAAAATTTACAAAACTAGAAAGCACATCCACTCATGAGTCTAACCATACCAAATTTATCAAAATCCGACATCAATTGGTCCCTCAAATCCTTAAATTACTCTTCAAAATCCCAAGCCCTAACCCCTCATTTTTCACCCCTAATTTACACTAATTACATGATTAAACAACGAAAAATTACTATAGATAGGAGTATTAGGGCTCAAGCAACTTACCTCACTGATATCTCCTTGAATCCCTCTTCAAAATACTAAGTTCGTATGATATTTTAGGACTTGTTGGTATATTTGGTTGAGGTCCCGAGGGCCTCGGGTGAGTTTCGGATGGTTAACGGATCAAAAATTAAACTACAACAGCTGCTGCAATTTTCTTCTGTTGGAAATTTCTTCTGCCAGATTCGAGCCCAGAAATCTCTCAGAATCTAGCCAGATCGAGCCCAGGGTCGAGGGCCACGATCGAAGCCATAATCGAGCCCAGAGTCGAGGGCCACGATCGAAGCCATGATCGATCCCAGGGTCGAGGGCCACAATCGAAGCCATGATCGAGCCCAGAGTCGAGGGCTATGATCGAGCCCAGGGTCGAGGGTCACGGTCGAAGGTCGGGTCAAAGACATGATCGAAGACCTAGGATCGAGAACCATGATCAAAGGCCTAGAATCGAAGGCCAAGATCGAAGGCCAAGATCGAGGCAGAACCGAGGTTGTCTCGGCAGAATTATAAAAATAAGGACTTCGTACCATTTGCCATTTTTGACAAATAGGAGCTTGAGGAGATGCGATTTTTGATATATTTTCAAGAAAAACTTGAGGTAAGTCCCTTGTGATCATTTCTACTCCATAATATTGAATTATCATCGAATAATCCGACTAGATTACATGATTTTGAGGTGTAAATCGGAGATTGAAACTTAAAAATTTGAAAATAAGATTTGTAGATTTGAGGGTCGAGTTGAGGTCGGATTTTGGTAAAATTGGTATGGGTACGGGTCAAAGACATGATCGAAGACCTAGGATCGAGAACCATGATCGAAGGCCGGGTCAAAGACATGATCAAAGACCTAGGATCGAGAACCATGATCGAAGGTCTAGAATCGAGAACCAAGATCGAAGGCCAAGATCGAGGCAGAACCGAGGTTGTCTCGGCAGAATTATAAAAACAAGGACTTCGTCCCATTTGCCATTTTTAACAAATTAGAGCTTGAGGAGATGCGATTTTTGATATATTTTCAAGAAAAACTTGAGGTAAGTCCCTTGTGATCATTTCTACTCCATAATATTAAATTATCATCGAATAATCTAACTAGATTATATGATTTTGAGGTGTAAATCGGAGATTGGAACTTAGAAATTTAGAAATAAGATTTGTAGATTTGAGGGTCGAGTTGAGGTCGGATTTTGGTAAAATTGGTATGGGTAGACTCGTGGTTGAATGGGCTTTCGAATTTTATAACTTTTGTCGGGTTTCGAGACGTGGGCCCCACAGGCGAGTTTTGAGCCAATTTCGGGTTTTGGTCTAATTTTGAAGTTTTTTTTGTGGAATTCATTCCATTAGTGTATATTGATGGTATTATACTGATTGTGAATAGATTTGAAGCATTTGAAGGCCGAGTCCAGAGGCAAGATCATTGCAGGTTAGAGATTTGACCGGTTTGAGGTAAGTAACGATTGTAAATCTAGTCCTGAGGGTATGAAACCCTGAATTTTGTATCATTCTACTATTTTTAGTGACGCACATGCTAGGTGACGGGCGTGTGGGCGTGCACTGTTGGAGATTTGTGACTTGGTCCGCCCGTAGCAACTGTAAAGTTGCATACTTTGTTGAAACCATTTGATACTTATATGTTTTAGAAAGAATTTCTGTAAATTGGGCTGAATGCCATGTTTGGGCCTTGCGCCAATGTTGTTTGGACCCTTAGGGGCTGTTTCTTACCATCCTCTCATTGTTTTCGATTGAAAATCTATACTCAGTCATGTTTATACTTGTTTACCGCATAACTCAGTTTTATGACTCTATTTTGATGCATATAAATGTTTTGGGCCGAATGCCCTGTTTTACTGAAATGCCCGAGAGGCTTGAGTTACTTATGACTGAGTGAGGCCGAGGGCCTCATTTGTGAGGATGAGTGTGGATCGGGGCTGCCCACCTGTAGCATACTTATGACTGAGTGAGGCCGAGGGCCTGATTGGTGAGGATGAGTGTGGATCGGGGCTGCCCGCCTGCAGCATACTTTATTATTATCGCATGTGAATTGTCCGTGAAGATTATAGCGCTTGGGCTGAAGGAGCCCTTCCGGAATCTGTACACACCCCTAGTGAGCGCAGGTACCTACTGAGTGCGAGTGCCGAGTGCCGAGTGCTGAGTGATTGGGAGGCATGAGTGATTGTGAGGTATGTCCGAGTGGCAAGACTGATTGTGAGGTATGCCCGAGTGGCACGAGTGACTGTGAGGTTTGCCCGAGGGGCTGTAAGATCATCTTATTTCCTTCTTTGTTTTCTTTTTCTGGTCTCCCCCATCCATTTGACGTTTTAGGAGCCAATAGAACCTTCATTAGACCATCGAAGATATTTCCTTTTGGAGCATTTAGACATTTTTCGCACTAACTGAATTCACATATTGCAGAAATTTCTATGAGGACAAGTAGTCCTTTTGGTATAACACCTGTTTTTATCATATTCTGTTCTGATAGTTTGCATCATGATATTGTCTACTTGATGATGACCTAGTAATTGAACTTAGCATATGCTGAATTGGAATTGTCATGGTTTTAAAATACTCTTTTTCAAATTCAACTTCAAATATTCTTTCTTTTTTCAACTTCAACTAAATATTGTCCAAACACCTACTAAATGTTTTGTCTACCCTTATCATCATCTCATTAAGCATAATTTTTTTATTTAGGTAACTGGTGTAGGAATCAATACTGAATGGGGATTGTTGATGGCGAGCATATCAGAGGATACCGGTGAAGAAACTCCGTTGCAGGTTATAGTCAAAATGTGCTTCTCATCATTATTAACTTCTTTACTTGTTTTATCCAGTCTATGTTTAGCTTCCAATGACAATATGGCAGGTGCGCTTGAATGGGGTTGCCACCTTTATTGGCATTGTTGGCCTTGCTGTTGCACTCTTTGTGCTCACTGTTCTTTTGTGCAGGTAAAGGTATTGCTTTCGTTCGAAGCCTTTCTGTATGGTTTGCATGCTAAATATTGCATATGACTTTAAATATTATGTCCCAGGTTCTTCACTGGAAATACCAAAAATCCAGATGGGACTACGCAGTTTGTCCATGGAAAGACCAGTGTTAGTAAATCAATTGATGGAGTTGTACATATCATCACTGCAGCTGTAAGCTCTTGCCCTTTAGGCTTTGTTTTGGTCATGAACTGTAACGTTGTGGAAACCTTTTGTTTCACTGCTCCTAGGTACTGTCATTCAGAAACCTTTTGTTAATATAGCACAAATGTGGACAAGTGTCATGTCCAATGAGGATTACTGACATGGGAGAATTTGAATCTAATAAGACTCTGTCTATGTTAGATTGAACAGATAGTGCTCTACTTTTCATCAACTCTATTATACAATCTAAATCTTACTTAAAACATGTTTATAACCTATCAATGAATGTAGAAGTGGCGTACTGTGTGTCACATATCAATCAACCAACTATGCCTGAATCCTGAA